CTGCTCTTCGCGGTTATGCTACAACAAGGGAGTTTGAGCCACAGTCCTTATCTTTGCCTTCGTATTTTGCCATCCATAAGGTGAACGTAAGGTCTCTAAATTAGCGCTGTAAAACGATCCGTAACTGTGACCGTATGGACGAAGGTGCTGGCTTCGCTTAAAAACCACACACTCATGTTGAAGTTTCCACAGGTGAGAATTTCTCCAAAAGTGTCGACACTAGAATGGCCTTTCCATGAAGAACTTATAACTTCTTAGCAAGTGCCGTCTTAGAGAGTTCTGCGTTGACCTTGAGGTTCCTTTGTTCACCGACCACGATGCTGACTTTCTGTCTACCGCACAATATCATCATCGGGTTGGACGTGGAGACATTCGGACGCTAATGGAAATGACCTTACTAGCGCTAATTGAGAGACCTTACGTTCACCTTATGGATGGCAAAATACGGAGGCAGAGATAAAGACAGTGGCTCGAACCCCGTTGTTGTGGCATGACCATGAAGAGCACGATAGGAGTCGATAAGCCTCTCTGACCCCCTTACGGGCGTCTCCAGGAACAGAAAGGGGGTTATGCAGTGAATTACCTATGTATATACCTATGTAATGAGCCTCAAGAGTTAGCCCACACTCAGTTCGATGTACCTTGTAACCCGAATGTGCAGCCATGACACTTGGCGAGCACCTTTCTGGCTTAGAAGCTTATGAGAAGAGCCATTTGGTACACTTGGCGATCTCCTCATAAGCCAAGCGCATTTCCACCTTCGCTTTCCTTTGCCTTACCCTCCTCCTCAACTCAAAAAAAAACAAAATTCTGCCAATTTCTCTGTCAACTAAGAGGTTGAATTTCTGGCTGTCTCAGAAGGAATGGTCCTATGGAAGGAAGTAGTGGCAGCAGATATTCCATTCCGAGGATCAAATACACTTTCTGAATTCCTGGACGTTATGATAATGGGAGCTAGTCAACCAGTAAAGGATAAAAGGATCAAGCCTACAATTAAGTTGCGGGGGCCAGCCGATGTACAAGCCAGTGTCCTTTTATCCTCTCCAGACAAATCTGGCAGCAATTAACGGCTCGAGGTATGGAGCTTTGGTTGGTCGAGACCCCGACGTTCGATCTCGGATCGGCGCTAGTGGTAGCGTGCCACTTGCTAAACACCGGCCGCACTTTGTCGAACCCGATACCTTTCGCGAAATGGTAACAGTTGCTTCTGATAGAATTTTAGGACGATTGATTTAGTGCCTGATCCGAAGGCAGCAGCTATTAAAGACCCCGTGGAAGTTATTCTGATCAAGTCCTGTATAACGACGTAAGCAAACCAGCCCTTTTGGCACATCGGCTGGGACCGTATGCTGAATGTTGGGGAGGGGATGGGGTCCCCAACGGTCGACGGTTTACTTCAACTCGGTTGGTACGATAGGAGAGTACTGACGCAAGTGGTGCAGCTGGTCCAGTAGCTTCGCCAGAAGGACCGGTTTGCTCACCCTTGGACTAAGCCTAGGAGAGGGGACGGACCCGTCCTCTCTTTAAGGCTTAGTTCTGAGGTAAGCGCCAAATTGTGGCGGTTCTAAGGACCGCGTTGAAGTTGTCCGTCCACCGTCGGGGACACCCCCCTCCCCAACATTCAGCATACGGTCCCAGCCGATGTGCCAAAAGGGCTGGTTTGCTTACGTCCTGTTAACTCTCTTGCATTGATAAATTAAAACTGCGGAAATGTTGTGGTGGCAAGCGGCGCCAGTGAGCACACATGTGGTACGGTGATCACTTCCGACAGTACGACGTCCAGGCTAACTTTGCCTTCTTGAGAGAGGTGGCCAGTTGGTGCTAGACCTCTCTGCAATGTACTAAACCTAATGTATCATATCGACTGCGTGTCGGAGTCATTGTGGTAGGCCTATCGCATCGAAATGCAACGACGATTCTGTGCTGAAGTAGAATGCGTAGCGCACCCAACAGGAGACCGATCATCACCTAATGCTTCCTTTTTTTTTACTCGACAAATTTGCTCGCGCGTCTACCAATAACTATTGTGAACTATTCAGCGGGAGCTTCAGTGGAAGAACTTTTTCACTCTGATAAACCTCTAACAATATTGAATACTTGAATATTAATAAGTATTATTATCAATATATTATCATGTTATACTATTATTAATATTTTTATAATACTTGGTAAGGGGTAAAAAATTTAACTCAGCACTATTCGGCTTTTTCAGGAGTGCAATTTTCCTTCCTGGTTGGAGAACCAGAGAACGTCGAGTGCAAAAATAGGCAAGGGATGATATCCTTCTTCAAAAACTGCGCGGCCATTTCGCCCATAAACCGCTGGGTTGACATCCGTACTTTTCACGAAAACA